GTGTTACCTGAACAGAAGCAGCAGCCCAGAAGTTATGTCGTGGCCTGGTTGACGTGTTGCCGAGCCTTCTCCTTGCTCACGTCTGCTCTGCTGTCTCAGGGAAGATCATCGGCCTTTACACAAACAGTCACAAACATGGACTAAGAGACAATAGTTATGTAATGCTGCAAAGATATGCTGCTAACTAACTCAAGTACGGTAGATAATTTTGTAATAAGATAGTTCGGTAATGAAATGTGTGGAGAAGTTATGGCTGTAAGGGGAGGTTGGAGACCATTAAATTACTTTTAGTAGTAGTAGTAGTAGTAGTGGTAGTAGTTCTTGTTGTAGTAGAAGCTGAAGTAGTAGTTGTAGTTGTAGAAGTAGTTGTAATATGAGGACACAAGATATATCACAACAAATAGATATAAATATTAGAAGTATTATAATCCTTCTTATTATTATCATTAGCACTGTTATTATTTTATATTTAATAATGTTTTTCTCAAACTTACCTGATCAAAACTGTTGGTCATTATTGAGGAAGACCTGGTGAAGGTCAGGGGTAAAACGTTAAGTTGAAACAAGTCTCAAGATGTTTTTTCTCCTGTAAGGCGACAAGAAGTGGTTCAAGCAGGTGAGTGAAGGTAAAGGTGAGACATGTGGCTACTATCGCTTGCCAGAAACACTTACATACAAACTTCACCTTCCGATATCTGAGGTCAGGTTGTGGGTATATATTGTGGTGGAGCGGAGGAGCAGCAACAAACGCAGCTCACATCTCCTCACACAATGAAGTTTGTAAGTAAACGTTTATATAAACTATTATGGTCACATTTGTAGCAAAATGAAATTTAAAGTAAAGAAATTAATATACTCATTAATATTGCTGAGAACTGGAGTGGCAGAGTGGATACAACGCTCACCTGCTGCCCGAAGGGTTGCTGGTTAGTTCCCTCGGCACCCCACGTCGACCCACCATGAGTACCCAACTTTATAGTTAGGGTAGAGATGGCTGTTGGGTACAGTGCCAGCCACACTGCCTCCTTGTATACCTGAAGCTGAGTATTCAGTAATCTCTTACATAAGTAACATGTAATAAAACTAGATTGATTTACCAGAAGAAGAAAAGGTGTTCACGATATTATATCAAAACATCTTTGTTTAGAGAAAAATCCCTGTAATCTGATCCACATCTTGAGTTGTGACGTGTTGTTGTTGTCACACACAGACCGCGCTGATCCTGGTGTTCCTGATGGTGGTGTCAGCGGTCGTCAGTAGTCCCGCCCCACACAAGAAGGGCTTTGGATTTGGCGGCAAGAAAGGCGGCCGTCGTGGCTTTGGCGGCTTCCGTCCAGTTCACGTGGTGCAAGTACCTATCCCAGTGTACCATGGCGGCTACGGTGGCGGCTACAGCCACGGCGGCTACGGTGGCGGCTACAGCCACGGCGGCTACGGTGGCGGCTTCGGCAGCAGCTTCGGAGGTAGTCACGGTGGTCTGTACGGCGGCTTTGGAGGCGGTCACGGCGGTTACGGTTATGGAAGCTACGGAAAGAAGTAGACTGAACAAGTGAGAGTTAGAGAGTTGGTCTGGGAACACTGCCGCTGTGAGAGTCTTCCTGGACAGGTAACTCTCTCTCACCTGCTCATGTTAATCATTAATGTAAATAATGGTCAATACTTTCCTAACACCTCATTCTTCCTTTCATTATAAAAATCTTACACTTCGTGTAGGAAATATTATGTTCTTATAACCTTCATCATCATTTTTGTACGATACTGATTTTTTACTGAATAAAAACAAATCTGTTTATGTCATCGTTTTCCTGACCTGTGAAGAAGTTAGTGACGTCAACATCCCTCATCCTTGTCTCTCTGCACAACCAAATTTAGATCACTTGAAGATAAGACAACCCAACTTGTACCATCTGGTGATTAAACCCAACTGTTACCTGTAGGAGGATAAGATAGGTTAGTTTAAGTTAGATTATATTCAATTAGTTCATGTTATGTGAGGTTTGGTTAGGTTAGAAGACGATGAGGTTAATTTTAATTTACAGGAGACAGAAAGCAAAGCTCCGATGATGCGGCCAGACTGTTTGGTAAACTGATGCTCGCTAGAAAAGTGTCCTCGGCAATAAGATCTCTCACAGAGGAGTCCTTAGGTGGGGTGCTGCCGATAAACCATGAAACTTCTGAAGGAGAAAGATCCTCCTGCAAGAGAAAGGGAAGGCATCAGGTTACGGGGTGATTATGATCCAGCCAAACGCAGTTATGTTCGAGAAAAAAACAGGAAGGTGGTTATAAAAGAAAGCACTGAAGGCCCAGGGAGGGGCCAGTCCATCAGACCATGGTGCCAATGGATGGAGAGTTATCCTCAGCAGTAACAAGTTTGGTGATACTGTAAGTGATATCTGCAATATCATTGTCTCCGCTGCAAGAAAGCTGAAAACCTGCTGTTGCCACTACTTACAAGCTCTAATGGGCAGCTGCCTCAACCCTTTGGACAAAATCCAGGATGCAGACCTATAGGGGTAGGGGAAGTGTTGAGACGAATTATTGGTAAATGTAAAATGAAGGTGGTCAAAGATGATGTCAGGGCGGCAGCAGCAGAGAATGTGCAAGTATGTGCTGACCAGCAGGCTGAAGGGAGACGCTGCCATTCACGCCATGAGAAAGATATATGAGGAGCATGAATGCGAAGCTGTACGTCTCGCAGACGCCTCCAACACTGGCAACGTACTTAACCGCAAGGCTACTCTGCACAAAATCAGTGTCAGGTGCCTATTGGAACCCGCTAGGCCTCTATATAACGAGTTTCAAGGCCTTAATTGAAGTTACTGCCATACAGTCAACCGAGGGAACGACACAGGGGACCCAGTCGCCAGATCCAACTTATATTAAAATTACAAGACAACCAGAGTCAAGCAAGCGGCCTATGCTGATGTCCTTACAGGAGCAGGAAAAGTTGAGGATACCAGAAAGTGGTTGGACCTGATAACCTCATGTGGTTCACAAACCGGGTACCACCCAAAGGCCAGTAAATCCTTCCTCATTGTGAAGCCAGGATACCATCACCAGGCTATAGAGGTGTTCAACGGGAGTGAGGCCAAAATAACAGAAACATCTGGGTGCGGAAATCGGCACGAATGATTTTAAGACCGAATATGTAACTGGAAAGGTAAATGAGTGGGAGAAGGAAATCAAAGCTCTGTCGGAAAATGTTAAGACTGAGCCACATGCGGCGACTGTGGCATTCACCCACGGAATCAAGCATCGCTAGAAGTTCCTGATGTGTACTATCCATGACATCGGATCGCTAGAAGAAACCATCAAGAACGCCTTTATTTCAACACCGAATGGCCATCAATTTACCCCAGTAGAAAGGTCACTCCTAGCCCTGCCACTGAGACAAGGAGGAATGGGAATCACTAACCCAGAGGAGTTTTCAGCCACTAAATTTCAGAACTGTGTCAAGCTCACGGCAACCTTCATTGATCATATAGTCACTCAATATGCTACAAGTGATGTAGACACCAACCAACTATGCAAAATTCGACATTCCATTATGACATAACGGCAGCACACCCAAAGCAAAAAATTTCAACAACTGATGCTACAACGGCCAGAGATTGTGAAGAGGAAAGTCGAGGTAGCAAAGGAGGTGAGGACCAAAAGCTGGCTGACAACTCTACCAACAAGAGCAAAGGGCTTCAGTCCCAACAAACAAGAATTTTCAGATGCCATTGATCTAAAGTATGTTTGGCCAGTGGAAGGCATGCAATCTTAATGTGTGTTTGGAATATCCTACGATATTAACCATGCCATGGTGTGCACCTTATTCACAGGACTGCCAACACAACCAACGAAGTGTGATTGGACATCATTTCTAGAGGATTTTGGACGAAGTCGACTGAACAAGTGAGTTACAGAGTTGGTCAGGGAACACTGCCGCTGTGAGAGTCTTCCTGGACAGGTCACTCTCTATCACCAGCTCACGTTAATCACTGTGTCACGCACACAGTTTCAACGAGTACGAAAAGAACGAAGTGTATCAAAAAGAATCCAGAACGTTGACGAAGGCAGCTTCACTCCTCTGGTGTTGACAACATCGGGCGGGATGGGACCAAGTGTAAGGTACCAGACTCGCTGAGGTGTTACCTGAACAGAAGCAGCAGCCCAGAAGTTATGTCGTGGCCTGGTTGACGTGTTGCCGAGCCTTCTCCTTGCTCACGTCTGCTCTGCTGTCTCAGGGAAGATCATCGGCCTTTACACAAACAGTCACAAACATGGACTAAGAGACAATAGTTATGTAATGCTGCAAAGATATGCTGCTAACTAACTCAAGTACGGTAGATAATTTTGTAATAAGATAGTTAGGTAATGAAATGTGTGGAGAAGTTATGGCTGTAAGGGGAGGTTGGAGACCATTAAATTACTTTTAGGAGTAGTAGTAGTAGTAGTGGTAGTAGTTCTTGTTGTAGTAGAAGCTGAAGTAGTAGTTGTAGTTGTAGAACTAGTTGTAATATGAGGACACAAGATATATCACAACAAATAGATATAAATATTAGAAGTATTATAATCCTTCTTATTGTTATCATTAGCACTGTTATTATTTTATATTTAATAATTTTTTTCTCAAACTTATCTGATCAAAACTGTTGGTCATCATTGAGGAAGACCTGGTGAAGGTCAGGGGTAAAACGTTAAGTTGAAACAAGTCTCAAGATGTTTTTTCTCCTGTAAGGCGACAAGAAGTGGTTCAAGCAGGTGAGTGAAGGTAAAGGTGAGACATGTGGCTACTATCGCTTGCCAGAAACACTTACATACAAACTTCACCTTCCGATATCTGAGGTCAGGTTGTGGGTATATATTGTGGTGGAGCGGAGGAGCAGCAACAAACGCAGCTCACATCTCCTCACACAATGAAGTTTGTAAGTAAACGTTTATCTAAACTATTATGGTCACATTTGTAGCAAGATGAAATTTAAAGTAAAGAAATTAATATACTCATTAATATTGCTGAGAACTGGAGTGGCAGAGTGGATACAACGCTCACCTGCTGCCCGAAGGGTTGCTGGTTAGTTCCCTCGGCACCCCACGTCGACCCACCATGAGTACCCAACTTTATAGTTAGGGTAGAGATGGCTGTTGGGTACAGTGCCAGCCACACTGCCTCCTTGTATACCTGAAGCTGAGTATTCAGTAATCTCTTACATAAGTAACATGTAATAAAACTAGATTGATTTACCAGAAGAAGAAAAGGTGTTCACGATATTATATCAAAACATCTTTGTTTAGAGAAAAATCCCTGTAATCTGATCCACATCTTGAGTTGTGACGTGTTGTTGTTGTCACACACAGACCGCGCTGATCCTGGTGTTCCTGATGGTGGTGTCAGCGGTCGTCAGTAGTCCCGCCCCACACAAGAAGGGCTTTGGATTTGGCGGCAAGAAAGGCGGCCGTCGTGGCTTTGGCGGCTTCCGTCCAGTTCACGTGGTGCAAGTACCTATCCCAGTGTACCATGGCGGCTACGGTGGCGGCTACAGCCACGGCGGCTACGGTGGCGGCTACAGCCACGGCGGCTACGGTGGCGGCTTCGGCAGCAGCTTCGGAGGTAGTCACGGTGGTCTGTACGGCGGCTTTGGAGGCGGTCACGGCGGTTACGGTTATGGAAGCTACGGAAAGAAGTAGACTGAACAAGTGAGAGTTAGAGAGTTGGTCTGGGAACACTGCCGCTGTGAGAGTCTTCCTGGACAGGTAACTCTCTCTCACCTGCCTGGCAAGTTAATCATTAAATGTAAATAATGTCAATACTTTCCTAACACCCATTCTTTTCCTTTCTATTATAAAAATCTACACTTCGTGTAGAAATATTATGTTCTTATAACCTTCATCATCATTTTTGTATTGATACTGATTTTTTACTGAATAAAAACAAATCTGTTTATGTCAATGCTTTTCCTGACCCAGAAGAAGTTAGTGACGTCAACATCCCCATCCTTGTCTCTCTGCACAACCAAATTTAGATCACTTGAAGATAAGACAACCCAACTTGTATCATCATCTGGTGATTAAACCCAACTGTTACCTGTAGGAGGATAAGATAGGTTAGTTTAAGTTAGATTATATTCAATTAGTTCATGTTATGTGAGGTTTGGTTAGGTTAGAAGACGATGAGGTTAATTTTAATTTACAGGAGACAGAAAGCAAAGCTCCGATGATGCGGCCAGACTGTTTGGTAAACAGATGCTCGCTAGAAAAGTGTCCTCGGCAATAAGATCTCTCACAGAGGAGTCCTTAGGTGGGGTGCTGCCGATAAACCATGAAACTTCTGAAGGAGAAACATCCTCCTGCAAGAGAAGGGGAAGGCATCAAGTTACGGGGTGATTATGATCCAGCCAAACGCAGTTATGTTCGAGAAAAAAACAGGAAGGTGGTTATAAAAGAAAGCACTGAAGGCCCAGGGAGGGGCCAGTCCATCAGACCATGGTGCCAATGGATGGAGAGTTATCCTCAGCAGTAACAAGTTTGGTGATACTGTAAGTGATATCTGCAATATCATTGTCTCCGCTGCAAGAAAGCTGAAAACCTGCTGTTGACACTACTTACAAGCTCTAATGGGCAGCTGCCTCAACCCTTTGGACAAAAATCCAGGATGCAGACCTATAGGGGTAGGGGAAGTGTTGAGACGAATTATTGGTAAATGTAAAATGAAGGTGGTCAAAGATGATGTCAGGGCGGCAGCAGCAGAGAATATGCAAGTATGTGCTGACCAGCAGGCTGAAGGGAGACGCTGCCATTCACGCCATGAGAAAGATATATGAGGATCATGAGTGCGAAGCTGTACGTCTCGCAGACGCCTCCAACACTGGCAACGTACTTAACCGCAAGGCTACTCTGCACAAAATCAGTGTCAGGTGCCTATTGGAACCCGCTAGGCCTCTATATAACGAGTTTCAAGGCCTTAATTGAAGTTACTGCCATACAGTCAACCGAGGGAACGACACAGGGGACCCAGTCGCCAGATCCAACATATATTAAAATTACAAGACAACCAGAGTCAAACAAGCGGCCTATGCTGATGTCCTTACAGGAGCAGGAAAAGTTGAGGATACCAGAAAGTGGTTGGACCTGATAACCTCATGTGGTTCACAAACAGGGTACCACCCAAAGGCCAGTAAATCCTTCCTCATTGTGAAGCCAGGATACCATCACCAGGCTATAGAGGTGTTCAACGGAAGTGAGGCCAAAATATCAGAAACATCTGGGTGCGGAAATCGGCACGAATGATTTTAAGACCGAATATGTAACTGGAAAGGTAAATGAGTGGGAGAAGGAAATCAAAGCTCTGTCGGAAAATGTTAAGACTGAGCCACATGCGGCGACTGTGGCATTCACCCACGGAATCAAGCATCGCTAGAAGTTCCTGATGTGTACTATCCATGACATCGGATCGCTAGAAGAAACCATCAAGAACGCCTTTATTTCAACACCGAATGGCCATCAATTTACCCCAGTAGAAAGGTCACTCCTAGCCCTGCCACTGAGACAAGGAGGAATGGGAATCACTAACCCAGAGGAGCTT